GTGCAACTCCTCGCAACCGCGGCCCCACCATCGTTGACCGACCATTTGTTACTATTCTGCAAAATCACCATCGACCTTGACTTTCTCAGCCTCACCGTGGCCGTCTTCACACTCGATCCCACCCTCCATTTAATTTGCTCACGGATAACCGAATCCGTCGGCGGCGATTTAATCTCGCCGCCTCCGTCCGTTGACTTTGACCCACTCGCTTCCCCTGCACTCGCCGCATTAGATACTTTCCCCTTCCTTTTGCTCCTACCCATCACCAGCTCAATGCTCTCGTCCAGCTGCTCGTACCTCCCGGCGCGTGAGCCCACGCGCCGCCGCATCCCACCGCACGAGGTCGCCCGCCGCCTCATCCCCTCGTACACCCCCCTCAAACACTCCACCGCCTCCTCCATCTCCGGCCGCCTCCCCGCCTCCGGCCGAACGCACCTCGCCGCCAACACCGCCATCCGCCGGAGGGCGCCGCCACCACCCTCCGGCGGCCCGACCCTCGGGTCACAAATTGACACGAAATCGCCGGACCTCACCGCCGGCACCGCCCACTCGACCACGGACGGCGGGCTGTGGCCAACGTCGATCGGGCACCTGCCCGTTATGAGCTCGAACATCAATACCCCGAAGCTGAACACGTCGGACTTAGTGCTGACGCCACCTGGGTCGACGTACCCAGGGTCGAGATACCCGAGTGTCCCCGCGGGCCTGGCCCGATTTGGTCCGGCCCGCAAGGCCAACCCAAAGTCGCCGACACGACAACCGGACCTGGCGTCAATCAGCACGTTCGACGACTTTATGTCACGGTGGATGATTGGCGGGTCCGACCCGTGCAAGAAGCAAATCGCCCGAGCGACTTGGACCGCGAACCGGGCTCGGTCGACCCACCCGGGCGGTTTCCTCTCGGGACTGTGGAGCAAGTCGTATAGGGACCCGCCTGGCATGTACTCGACCACGAGCAATTTGTGCCCGTGGTGTTCAGGTTCGCACCCGAACCCGATTAGGTTCACGAGGCGGGGATGATGAATTGTGGACAGAATCCCCACCTCGTTTTCTGCGGCGGTCCCGGAGGCGTCGTTTGGCTTCGTCCGCTTGACTGCAGCCACACGGTTCCTCCGGTGGAAACGAGCCTTGTACACGGAGCCGTGGCTACCTTTGCCGAGGAGGTTATCGGGCGAGAATCCATCGGTGGCGGCGTGAAGTTCCGAGAAGTCGAACTCGGTGATCTCGACGGGCCTTTGGCCCGCGGCCTTTCGAGTTTTCTTAGTCAGAAGCTCGTAAGTGCCGCAAGTGGCGATGGCGGAGTCGACATTGCAGGAAAAATAGCCCATGGATTATCTTCTTGATGAGAGGGAAAGCAAAAGGCCATGCTTGAGAAGGAGAAGAATGGCAAGAAAATAAAGGGAGAGAAAGAGGAGTATAAAAAAAGGGAAGATGGGAGCTAAATCTCATTTATTAAAATCTAATGCATCATCTTTACAACTTTAGGACAGTCTTTAAATTAGAGCGGTGGGTAATGTGATTGAATGAATGTGTAGATAATTTTAAAAAGGGGAGGTGACTGTGGGGATTATGGAGAGATGAGTTTTCTTGTGGTCTTTAAATGGAAATAATATTTAATTGAAAATGTGGGAAGTGGGTAGTGGTTTATAAATGGTATTAATGGTTTGTTTAATATTTTATCATGTTTGGATTAGGTCCTTGTCATAGAGTGTTGAGAGATACATTATTGTGCATAGTAAACTACTAGAATATATGTTCATCTACTATTGTGTATAGATGAATAGAGTATGATATAAGATTTAATTAACTAAAATTAAAATGAATGGTATATTATATTATTAAAGATTTTTAAAAATAAATCAAAAGTTTGAGTTAAATTTAATTTAAATATAACTTTGAATTTTGACAATTTAAGGCGCGATATTTATATTTTTACAAGTTGAGGTATGAATTTAGGATTCGGTAACAGGTAAATGGTAGATTTAAAATTATTTCAGATATGGCTTGCATTACAAAATAAAAGATTAATTTCAATATTTATATTACAGATAATAAAAATTCGAGGAGCACATGTGGCAGTTGCAGTTCTTTCCCGTGTCTTAAATTTTTGTTTTTAAGAGAATAATTAATTTCAAAATTAAAAATTGTTACTTGAATTAAAATTAAAATAAAGGAAGTAATTTATTTTGCATATAAGCCTATTGTTAATTAGTAAACATTAGTATTGAAGTAAAGTGGCCAACATAGTTGATACTCCTCAATATATAACTTTATTTATTATTGTTATTAAAAATATTTCATTTATTTTATTTTAAAATTCAAAGGCGTGCAGCGCTTTAATAGATTGGGGTCAATATGCCTCCTCCACATCGGACCAGTCTACACCTCTTTTTATTTCCCTTTTGAATCTGCTTTTCTTCCCCCAACTGTATTTCTGTAATTCTATAATTTCAAATATTGATTTTGTTAATTTAATAATCTGTTTTTTTTTTAATATTATGGGTCTGTTAATCTTCATATTTAAACAGAGTAAAAAGAAAAAATAAAAATAAAAAGAAAAAAAAATTGAAAACGTGGTCATTGTTGAAATATGTTGCTAATCTCGTGATATATATTTTAGTGCACCTTTTTTTTTTTGGTACAAGATACGGAGGCCTGAGGCCTAAATTAAGCTAACACCCGACGAG